TATTAACCCACGAATATCTGAGAACCCCTCGGGGGATTTCAACGCTGATTCATGGAGCGCTGGTGTTCGAGCGCTGAGCAGATGCAGGTGGAGTGGATGTACTTTAGTTTGTGATACATTTGCTTTCTGCATAGATCCTGCTTATTGCTGGAGTTGTTGGATAAGCCTCTTAAACTGTCCTCATGAGGCATGCTGATCCAGGCAGCCACACACACACACACACACACACACACACACACGCACGCGCACGCACACGCACACGCACACACGCACGCACACGCACACACAACATGCTCACACTGAGATAAATTGACTTGGTTTTGTGCTTGTGCAAAGAAAATCTGAGACAATGATAAAAAGGTCACATCCCGTCTTCAGATAATGTTACTGGAATCTCATTTTGCTTCTTTAATATTCTTTTCTTATTTAACTGGAAGCCAACCATCTCTATCATTTCACAGTTAGGTGGGCTTTTTATCCACTTTGCAATCAGGAGTCATGTGCTGTGACACAAAAGTGACACAAATATTTTCTTTTAAATATTATTAGGCCCTTAATCTGTCAGTCTTATAGTGTCAGTTATACTATTTTTGTAAGATCTGTCACAGATTGATTTAAAACTTTTGAAATCGGATAAAACTGTAGATTTTACAACCTTATCAACACAGACAACACAAATATAATTTTCTATTCTTTGATGGTGAACTTTGTTCCTATCCTTCATGCTTTCTCACATGCAAAACATCACAAGAATTTAAAGTAAAGCAGCATTAACATGGAGGAGTTGGAGATGATTGTGAACCAGGCCAGATGCTAGATAGAACTTAGAGGGGCTGTAATCCAGGGCCCGGATTCTCTTTTGGGCCCTAAGTTTTTTTTATTTTTTATTACCCCTTTTTTTATGAATATGTGTTTTGCAAACATTGAAGCTTATATAAAACTAATAAGATCACATCAGGTGTGTTTTATTTAGTTAGGTACTTTCAAGAATATAAACCATACTCAAGTATTTGAAAATGTTGTAGTTATAGTACATATTTTGGGTACAACATGGAGCTCTAATGAACTCTAATTTGTATTAGTAAATTATTTTTTTCTGTGGTGAATAGGGAACCAAAAGACATTAAGACAACCAGCCCAATTCCTGCAAATGCTTTGACAAAAACACTAAGTTTGTTGTGAGATGCCTACTGTTTACTAAACACCAAAAAAACTGTCTGCATAATGTTCACAAAGGGCAGAGAAACCAAACAACCAGCATCACTGAGCATCACTGGAAACAGGAACTGGAGATTAAATATATGGGTTTAATTTGGGACTCCAACCTTACATTTAAAAACACATAAAAAAGGTAACTCAAGAAGTTAATTTCAACCTACAATACTCCAATTAAATTAAGGCTTTTTATCTCAACACAGTCAAATAAATCTTACCTCGACTGAATGATTTTATCACAAATTTAATATTGCTTCATTACTTTGTAATTTCTATTAAACAAATAAAACATGGTAAAATATGGAGTCCATTGAATTGTTTTATTTTCTGTTAATTGCTCGCACAGCACTTTGATTTAAAGCACTGCAGGAATAAAATTATCATGATAAAAAAGAAAAGACATTGTGTTAATTCTAGGGTTAGAACATGTGCCTAGCTCTAAATCAAGTTAAATTTAATTTAAAGCATGCAAAAACACACACACCAAATTACACAATATTATTCATTATCAAACAATGATAAATGTATTAAATCCCTAAAGTTTTAAGCTGTTGTACTTTGTGTTCCCTGTGAATGTATATAATGAGATTATGTATTTAAATGATAAATTCAATAACACAGTCTAAAAACAGAATAAAAACAAACAGAAAGTAGATTTGGAGAACTTAATACATGCACTTGGGCAAATATGGGTTAATCAATTCAACATGTGATCCAGTCTGAACTTCAGCATTTTATCAACCTTTGGTCAGCGCATTATGAAATGCATTGCCGTGTCAGAAACCCTGGACAAACTAGTCAAGTGACTTTCTCTGCTTGGAAACTGCAGTCAGCCCATGCATAGCTGTCCTATAAATAGTCTTGCATTGCTTTCCCCACTCTGGCTTACTGGCTGCCAGCATTGCAATCACGACTGCCCCTGAACAGTTAGAATGAGGCAGAGTCTTCCTTCCTATTGGCTCTCTGGGTGCACTGCAGCCGCGGCTCTCCCCCTGCCTTTCCCCTCTGCAGTCACGGGATGTTCCTGCGTCAGAGCCGAGCCTTACAAGCTCCGCTGATCATCAGCACCGTATACGGCAATCCTTTGAGCTCCCAGCACAGCCCTTACATCACGGGCACTTACGTCACACACCAGTGACGACACACTTAAGATTATGTATCCATGCTATTATTGCAACACTGCTTCTAAGGGAGAGAGGGACGGAGGAATGAGTGTGATGAAATTAGCACATGAACTGCCCCCCTGTGGAGGATCCTGTAGCAATCAGTTTTCATTATCCATCTCTGGCATCATGTGGAGTTTTGCAACAGTGTTATTACATGGCTCTTGGTGGGAGCATTGACTAAAGTTTGCACACACTGATAGAAGGAAATAGTGCAGCTGATAGATACTGTATATTATAGATGTCCCCTGCAGGAATCTGCATTACTTCAGCAAACTTCACCCCTACGCACTGTAGTTTCAGTCATTCACTCATTTTACTCATTAGTTGCTAAAGTGTGACACACAACCTTAACTTTCCATAGTTTAAATTATAATGGTGTTGTGGTTTTAGTTTAATTCATACCAGATGACTCCATCTCAAAACTTGTTTTATGGTTTAACCCAGAAAGCACTTGTGAGGTTTAAGCAACACAAGGATTTGTTTTCCACAACTATCCTCAAAAAATATGTTCTGTTTTGTGTTTAGTGTGAGCTGCCGTCAGTAAACATAGTAAACATTGAAACATTTCCAAAGAAAAAAAACAAAGTCTTGTTCTGAAAAGCTTGGTCTGACCCATGCACGTCGTAATTACATTAAATAAAGAATGTTACCACATCCACCCATAATCATGAGTTAACCCTGAAAACATGTGGCCTGAGAACAAAATTAAAATCAGTGTCAAATAACACTTCTTTTGGAAATCAGAACTTGTAGCACATCTTTTATTTAGTGAGGTGGATATAAGTGATATTGTTTTTGTTTATGTTCTGTCTCAACACATTTAAGAGCAACCTTTATACAAATCATTTTTATTCCATTATAATTAATGCACTGAATCTGATATATATGCATGCAATATAAATTTATTCACTTGTTAAACTAGCCACTAAAAGTTGTGATTTTTCTTCTGTAAGCCTGCAGGAACCTTTTTGAAATTGGTCAAAAAATGTTGAACAACAGACGTCTTATTTAAAGCTGTGAAAACATTTAGGGAACTTTTACAATAGGAGTTTACATCCCTCAAAAACTGTCAGCTTTTCCACATACTTTCACTGGTTGACACTTCAGCAGTTCATGTGCACTTGGCCATTGACTTTCTAATACAGAAAAATGGTAGATCACTGGCCTTCAATCAAAATTGATGTAAGATTTATTTTTATTTCATATGATAATGTTCTAGATCTGTCCAACATATAACTTGCCTTTTACTTAATGACCACTGGATATAGAGACCATGGATGAATGGACATGCTTGTAATATTTTGCAAGGCTATTTTGGTTTTTTAAATGCATAGTAAGTGCAGCAGGGATGTGATTTTAGCTAAAAATATGACAGTAACACGTACCTTAGACAGACTATGTACGTCACTGATTCTTACTTAGAAGATGCAGTTATGATTTCTTGGATTACGACCTTTGATTTAGAGAGCTGCTTGTTAGTGGATGGAAGATATTCACTTTAGTCCCTCTTGTGGAAAGAACCAGTATTATACAATCCCATATTAAATGAGCTTCAAAAATAAACAAATCATTAAAATGTTTTCTTTAAAAAACATGAAAATAATATTTCCGTAAAAAAGTATTCAAGACAAGAAAAAAAATAAAAAAATCACCAGTTGGCATTAAGTGCTTCCATATGATTTTTTTTTTTTTTTTTTTTGTATTTTCTCACCAGGTTTATTATGTGCAGATCAGTATCTTCTGTCTACCTGGAGGTAATCAGTTATATTACAGCTCATGTGCTACATGTTTGAGTGAATATGTGTGTAAACAGGTTAATATGACATGTGGATAACAACAACAGCTCTACGTTACAGCACATGTACTTAACATTTAGGTGTAGCAGATGAATGTTTGTACATCATTTCTTCATATAAAAAACATGCACTGGACCTATTTACTTTTTCATTTTTAATTATTTTAATTTATTTGTATGGTCTGTCCTTCCTATATGCTGATGGAAAACATATTCTTTATATGCACTTAATGGACAATAAAGCAGATTATTTCTGACAAAAAGTATTTTGTTCAGAAAAACTACGGTTATATCCTATTTTACTAAGTGATGAACAAAAAAGTCTTGCATCACTATAAAACATTCAGCTCCTAAATGCTTATTTTTTCCTCATATGATGAATTGTTTATATAATCATTAAAGATTCTCCAGTCAATAGAATCAGAGAAGAGAATTTAATGTACATAGCACAGAAACATTACAAATGCCCTTCATACAAGCCATTACTTTTTATCTGCAAAAACATAAAATACTTATTTTACAGCATGCAGATGTGTCAATGTATCAAGATGTGTCAGTAATACAAAATAAATGACATTCAAGTTGAACTATGGTAGCCTTATTGTTTTTAAAGCATCTTGAGCAAAATAAATAAATAAATAAACATCTAATAACCTGCACTGTTTTGGTTAATGTCACACATATCTATAATCAATTCATAGAGGCCAGCAAGGTAATGCTGCATCAAAAAATTGGAGTATAGAAAATACTCCCTTCATCATCAATGTTCTCTGTTTTATGTATGATTTTCAGAAAAAAGCAAAATTCTGGCAAGAGGGAAAAAAGCAGTGCAGAGAAAGAGCAGAAGAGAAAAAGTAAAAAGTTGATTTAAGATGTAAATAAGTTAGAAAGCTAAAATGACTTTTCAGGAAGATAACTTGGTTTTCAGAGTGAGTTTAGAAAGACCTCAAGCTATACACTACAAACATACAGTGAGTGAGCTGGGGTGACAGCAGACTTCCTAGCTTAGAATACAAGTCTTTGACTGGGATGCACTTGCTGCTGGAAAAAGGAAGGAAGAAAGAATAAAGAGAGAAGACAGATGAGAAGTTACTTTCATGATTCCAGCCCTTTGAAACAGTTTGCATCCTGAACTTTTTCTTAAACATGCTACACCTGGCATTTTGGTCCCATTTGGGGTTCTCTCCCACCTTGCTTAGCTGCTGCAGCGCTCTGAGCTGCCTCCTCTTTGGCCTGCTTAGCGGCCTCGATGGCTGCCAGTTTGGCCTCGTGCTGCTCCTTGAGGGCGTTCCACTCCTTCCTGTTGTTCATGAGACGGTCCAGCATGGGGGTGATCTCCACGTGGAAACGGCTGAACTCCTGGGTAAGGTAGGAAGGAATCAAAAACACTCAAGGAACATCAAACTCTCTGTTTGAACTTCTAAGGTACGATGTTTGACCTTGTATACAAATGCGCAAACAAAGTCGATGAAACCACACTGCAGCTTTGGAAGGTCGTCCGCTTTATTTCGGTCCATCATAGGCTGAAGGAGAGAAAGAAGGTAACACATCAATGAACCAAAGACTAAACTCTTGTCATTCAGTGATGCTCAATAAATAAAGTAAAATATTTTCATGCAGTTTCTGGCTTTAGTACATAGTTATGAAATAACTAGCTAACTAATGCTTTTTCTATACATTAGCACATCTGGTTCTTATTTGGTTGTGAGATATATTTTATATAACATTACCAGAAAAGCCTTCATCTTTTTAGTTTGCCGGATTTAAATGAGGCATGGTTTGAGAGGTACTTTGTATTTAAAGATGAGCTTCAACAGTCTATTTTGGGGGTTTTTCTACACAGTAATCATTTTACCTTTTCTTAGTTTTGAAGCTGCAGCTCTCTTATCTATAGCAGAGAGAGGATGAGGGTCTTGCATTTTGACAGGGCAAAACTGAAATTTTGTGACCAAGGCTAAAAAATGTTCAAAATATTTCACCTGATAGACAATTTGTGCTTCAGAAGTTTGGAGTGGAAGGTTTATAACTGCAGGACTTTTACACTAAATGTCTGGATTTAATGTTGGGCATGGATGAATCATCTTTGGCATAATTAGCTGTCTGTTGCAAACTTCAACCCATTCAAAGGAAAGTTTATCTAAAACAGGCTGTTCAGAGCTACAGTGGGAAACGCATCCCCAGAGATCAACGGATGAGAAATGGTTTGCACCTTGAACAGATGTAAATTTTATTAACTGCAACATTTGAAAGGTGATCCAGAAACTGCCTCCAACATTAACTTTTAATACCACCACTCACAACCTATTACTTCCTATTTGAAGGTCCTTTTCACTGTCAATAACATATTATTTCTATGTTTCTATCTCCAGAGTTAATGGCAACTCTCCTTAGAATGTAAACTATTTAATAATATGCTTAAATGAAACCAATAGAGGGTGACAGAAAAGGAAATTGGTTGGTAAATAAGAGGTGGTTCTAGTAGAACAATGGGAAAGGATAGACTGTCTTTGCTAATATCTTTTCTGTAAATTTGTTAATCTGCAAGGATGGTTAAAATATATTGGTCCTTCACAGCTTAAACCTGTACCCAGAGAGAAAGAAATAACTGAAAAAATAAGCTGTTTTATCATGTAGCCTTTTAGTATTTACAATGTTTATTCAAATGTAGATCTAGCAGACCACTTATCTTCCCTCAAATAAGAAAAAAAAAAAAAAACATGTACCTGAGCAGCACATACAAGTTTGAATTTCTGTGACAAGCTCAACCTGAACACAATTGTAAAAGTTACCACCCACACATTTAAAAAAAAAAAAGAAAAGAAAAACAGCTTGAGTGCCCCAGCCTCTGCAAAGTCCCGTCAGGCAGCGGTGAGTCACAGAATCCTCTGCTGGAAAAGTGCAAACTGTACCAAAATGAAAAGTTTTCCCTCCTGATGGATGCTATTAAATTTGGAGGTAAAAACATGTAGGATGGAGCTTCTCACGCTCGGAGCGTCTCAAGGACACGAGGGAACAAAACCGAGGAAGCTGAGGGGAGCCAGGGAAGGTACGGTCGGCTGGGTCAAGGCCACGGTGACCGATCTTTCTGAATCAGTGCTCCACATAATGGCTTCTCTCTGCTCAACACTGCCACCACAGGGAATTTAATCTGTCTGTTCATTTGGTCTGTGTTGCTGTCGCTTGTTCTCTGTTCTCATCGTGTCCTTCTCTTTCTCTCTGTCTTCAGATGGGGAGCTAAAAGAAGGCCTTATCCTGCTTTATACCCAAGAGCCCTTCCAGTCATTCTACTCCTCTCATTAAAAAGTATTAAAAAAAAGAGAAACAAGTCAGTTGGAAAAGCTAATTATAAAAAAAATAACAGAAATACTTCATAGTGCAACGTCTCCTTACCGCCTTGTTTCTTAAATTTTGATATTAAGTAATTACATTGGATTAGATTTTTGTATGAAAATATTCTTTCAGTATTGTAAGACTTTGATCACTTCTTTACCAGGAAGCTCAAAAATATGACTGGGCTGTAAATGTGTGTCCGTAGTTTATTGTGTTCCTTGTATGTGGTTTGTGACATGCAGTTCTAACTGTGGTGTTACAAGAATGACCTTTAAGCTTGGTATGAACTGTTTTTCTCAGCAGAAGAGAAAAACAGTCTTCACAGACTTAAGAGTCTTGCACATAAATTATTTTAAAGGTCATGTATAACATCATCTATTGATATATCCAACTAAAGTCACTGTTGCTTGGCTAAAAAGCCTTGGTTGTAGTTTTGTGATAGCAGAAAAGCCATTAAGATTCAGGATCTTTAGCAGGATGAATCATCCTGACAGCAACAGGTCTAATGAGTCAACGTGTAAATGCTGAGGAAATTTCAGAAAATTTGACATAAAGGTAACATAGATCAACCACCCCATATCACAGCATATGCAGAAATATTGTATTGTACAGAAGCATAAGTTAATCCAGCTTGGGTTATTTTTTGTTGAACTCTTACAATAGGTTGCTGTTCCAAGACGGTCCTCTCCAAATCTCCCTGCTCCCAGAACTCTGCAGCCACAGACAGCGCCACCTAGAGGAAGAGTTGAGATGTGCGTTCAGTCACCTTGCCAATATTTTGGTTTCCAATGCAAGCACAAAGGAAGGATATAAGTTTTAAAGCATAAAAAAATACTCTTGTTTGAGAAAGTGGAGCTTAACAATCTCAATTTCCTTTGATTTATGTTTGAATTTTAGGGGCTCTTGTACTCAGCAAAGATATAAAACTGTAAATGGACCAGCATTTATACAATGCTGATATAATAGATCTTTCCCCTCCATGTTGTTCAAATCATTCTTTAAAGCTTTTACAACGGCCCACAATGAGAAGGGTATTTGCAGATCACGAGGCAGCTTTCTGGCTTTGTGTCTTTGATGAAATGAAAGCCCATATTATCTGCCCTCGCAAACCAAAAAACTCTGCAGAGCAAGATCTGTTGAATAATATGTAAATTCTGTATTCAGCACAGCACACTCATTTTGAAAGAGTTAGTCATCAAGCCGTTTCTGAAGGAACAATTGCTCCAAGGCTTGTACAGAGACACTGCACTTTTTATCCAGAACCGGATGAAAAGCACAAAATATCACCCAATACAACGGCAGCAGCAACGTTTCTTGCATAGAGCACAGCAGCTCAGGCTCCAAGTAATGTTATGAACAAGACTGTCTACCATCTGTATATGAATTTTTTTGTTGTTGTTTTTGAGCAACATTTGGCAAAGATATAGTTATCCTAGAGTATATAACCATCTGATTAGCAGCAGCAATTATAAGAGATCTCTCTCATTATTGCAGCATTTATGAAACAGAAACAATTTTGGAAATCCTAAATGAGTTAAAGCAGGAAATGTTTAGTCTGATTCAATGTCAAACAGTGATGAAAAATATTACTTGTTATGCAGTGTGTGTAAGCATCTATTTTTAACTGTAATTTATCGATCTCTGTGCTTTATAAGACCACCTAATTTCCTTTTAGATGCAGCATTGATGATGCATTTGCCATAAAACTTCAGTCTGTGTTTACATTGAATAATATGAAGCAGGTGTTACTGAAAATGAACACATTTTGTGAGGCTGTTACAGCCAAATAAAGGTAAAAAATGACCATCAAGCACTGCCTGTCGAGTGGCCAGATAGGCTTGCTGTTCATGTTGATATGCAGTAGTTGCTGGCTTGAAGGCAATGTGCACATTACATATTTCACTAAAATAAGATGCTGAGACTGGCAGGCGGTGATGAGGAGAATGAAAAGCAGCAGGTTGCTTTTTGATGCATGAGGCCATCAGGAACCACCGCCGAACGCTGCTGAGAAAAATGGTAGCGCTGACAAAATACCATTCGTTCCCTACTCTATCTTAGGTTCTTGCAGAGTTTGTGCCTGAGTGTGTGTTTTATCACCATTAAAAGATAGTTGTGAGCTACACTGGAGAGCTACTTTATACCTACAATCCTAAAATTGCCTGTAAGAAGATCATCCATGGATCTACCTTGCTCTGGATCTCCCAAGGTTTGGCAATTGCAGAAAGATCACAGGCAGTCATCATCATGGCCCTGCAAACATGACACAGGACTGAGACCTAACTGTCTTTGTTTCCCTGTGGAACATTAATTTTAGCACATTTCTGCTTACATGACAATCTCTTTGCGCGTAGTCTCAAGCATCATGTATTTGGTCCAGTCGTTCCAGTTCTCGTAGGTTTTTGACTGGTCAACGATCTTCTGGAACATCGTTCTCTTTCTGCAGAGGAGCACAACAGACAGATTTCATTTCTGACAGCTGAGATGAGAGAATACCTGGAAACTTCCTCAGAATAAAGAGTCCTCATTTAATTTAAACACAAACTTGGCATAGCTATTTTAAGGCAGATTCACTTAAATATTTAAAGAATTTTATAAAAATGAAATGTGAATTTTTTTAAAAATGTGATAATCAGAGATATGACTGAATGTATTTTGAAAAAAAGCACAGATATTGCCTTTTAAAATAAAGCTAAAGCGCTGTTTCTGGTCTGGGAGCCAGGTCATGCTTCAACCCTACATCCAATCATTTGACATTGATATTTACATCTGTCTTCTCCATTCTGCACATTTTATCTAATATTTATCTTTTATCATTTAGTTTCTACTTTTACTTAGAAATTGGGGAGTACTCACAACTTTTACGAATTTATAACTTAGAAAGCCCAGAGGGTATTATCTACCAACCCAAAACAGGGATCAGAACAAACTTAGAATCCAGAAGAAAAAAAAAAAACTACCTCAGAACAGAAGAATCTATTTTATCAACATTATTAGATTATTTTTCTTCTTTTGCTCTTTTCTTTTGGTTTATTATATTGTTTTTATATTTCCTTTTAATTTATGTTAAGCCCTTTGAACTGCCTTGTTGCTGAAAATGTTATATAAATAAAATTACCTTACCTTACTTCCATCCCGCTACTCATCCTTATTACTTTTTAATGCACATTTTTCATACCATTTATCCTCCTAATTCATCTTTACAACCTCTTTCCAGCCTCCTCATCCTACTGATCCCTCTTCGTGATGCTTTTTTCAATGTATTTATCTTCTCAGCCCTGTTTATAACTCCCTCTCACCCCTTTGTCCTTCTCATCTATTTTAATGACCAATTTTTAAATCATTTATTCTCACCAATGCTCTTCATATTTCCTTTTCATTCCATTAATCCTCTTACACTGATTACCCTTATCTGTTTATGCAAAGCCTTCATCTTCATCACCTCTCTCATTCATTTTTTTGCTACCCCCTTCATCTCAATATTTTTTCCTAAACATCTTCATGACTTCTTCTGATGACAATCCCTCCAAAAAAACTTTTTCACATGCATTCATCCAAGTTTGTTTAGTTTCTGTTTGCTTACTAATTCTCAACAAATGTACCATAAAACCTAAACCTAAACTCAGTTTCACTTAGGTGATATTAAATTGAAATATTAGATTGATCCATTTCTTTGCCCTCCCTTAATATTCTATGATTATCAATTTAATCAGACCATTCCAATTTGTCTTGTTAGCTTTTTCTAAGGTTTTATCAAAGGGTTCCAAGGTAGTTGTATTAGCTGCTGCAATACAAATAATATCCTGCTCTAAAATCATGAGACTTTCCATATGAAGCTTAAATGACTGATCCATGCATATGCCTAATCTCTCTGCATTAATTCCGATTACTGCAATTGACCCATATTATTGGGCTGTGGTCTGTGCTAGTAAATGCAACTTAGAAATTATGGTAACACTTTATTTGAAGGGGGGTGAAAAAGACTGTCATGACACTGTCATAAACATGACATAACACCTGTCATGAACATGAATAAGTCTTCATGAATATTTATGACTGTTGTCATAAAGCGTCATTCGGTAAATTATGACACTTTTAATACGTAGTAGACATTATTCAAAATGTCTTTGTTATGACAACTTGACATTAACCAAGAAATCATTACTGTTTAAACTTTACCTTTAATAACATAAAGATACCTGATTTTTAAAGTGCAATCAGTAATACTTTTATAACAAATTTATATCAGTAATGATTTCTTGGTTAATGACAAGTTGTCATAACCAAGGCATTTTGAATAATGTCAACTTTGTATTAAAAGTGTCATAATTTACCGAATGACGCTTTATGACAATAGTCATAAATATTCATGAAGGCTTATTCATGTTCACGACAGGTGTTATGTCATGTTTATGACAGTGTTATGACAGTCTTATTCACCCCCCTTCAAATAAAGTGTTACCTTTGTGTGTTTACTTAAAATGAGTTACAATGTAGACAGTATTACCACATATATATAC